GCTCCTACACAAGAGGCTCATCAATTTAAATATATTGTTAAAATACTTCAGTAACACCTGATACAACCCACAAAAAACATATACACAAACTCAGCTCCTCTGCAAATTGTTTCTCCTGCTTTTTGCTATATCCTCAAACTGCAAATTCTCTTCCCCACACTTTACCTTCAACTTGCTTGTTGCACTTAAACTGTGAGAGAGAAAGGTTATTCCAACAGGGAAGGGAGCCCAGCCCTGCACACAGGGTGACTGACCACCCAGCCTGATCAAATATTGCCCCCTGCAGTACTTCCTGCCAAAACACCCACTGGGCAAATAAATTTTGTCTAATTCCTACAGGTTTTCCAGCTACCTGGACAACTCGGTGCTCCCACACCAACACAGCAAAAAAGAGATTTTACTTCTACTGACTATTTCATCCAGACTACAGAGAAATAAATCCTCCTCTGCTCAAGGCACAGAACAGTAGTTGGGGGCAAAAAAAAAGAAAAAAAGAAAAACCCAAACAAACCACAGACAAGTCTCTCTCCTACAAACATCAGCATCGGAATTTCAAGCCTTTAAGAGCTTAAAAAGATGTTTGATGGATTGTCTGTTTTCTCTGAATTCGAGTCCTTTTCCTGCTTTATCTTAGAGACATGTCTCTGCTCTTCAGATTCCTCACATGCAGCTTTCCTCACTACACAGCAGAAATCTTACTAAGTGCGTTATTGGTGAAGTCAAGTCAAGTTAAAATGCCATTTTTTCAAATACAGAAATAGAAAATCACTAAGTCCTCCTGCAAGTTTCAGCAGTCAAAGCAAACAGACAGACGGCCTCTACGTGTTTGGGGAAAGATGCCACTGAAGTTAGCAGTGTGACAAGCTGTTGAGATTGGAACTGGTAATTGTGCAATATAAGAAATAGGAAAAAGGAAATATTTAGAACCAAGAGATGCCAAAACTGCAATCAGCAAATGGAAGGCTAAAAACCGATGAGCAAATCTGGATGCTCTTCTTATTATTTATTTTTATTGTTCAAGCTGTGCCATATAACCGTCTTGTTAGAAGAAACAATCAATAAAGAGCTAACGGCCTCACCGCAGCATTGTGCACACGCCTCCACCCACGGCCCTTGCGACACCAGCTCGGCTGAAGTGACGTGTACGAGGCTGCCGAGCAAAAGAGGTGCTGTCCCGCTCCTGGGTGGTCAGAGCCAGCAGACACAAGCTCCCACGTCAACCTGAGGTTTGAAAAAACCCGTTATGCTTTAAAGCCAGCAGAGACGTGTCATACCAAATACGTAACAGAGGAGAATTTTAGAGCGCGTGGGAGAACGGGAATACAGCCACTCAGACCATCCTAAAAACCAGAAGAAGTGCCCAGTTATACAGCAGAGACTGTGTCGTGCACGAGAACAAAGTTATCACGTAAAGATGTGAGAGAACCAACTCGTGGAGGTGAAGCTCCGTAAATCCCCAAACCCACTCTGCCAGGACAGCACCCCAACAGCGGGTACCGCGGAGCGAGAGAGGGGTCAGAAGAACGAACCTGCGTAGGCAATAAGCTGCAGGTGGCTGGCAGGGAGAGACGAGTGTCACTGCCAAACTCACACGCACGGCAGCAAAAGCCACCGACAGCAACGTGTCATTTGCTGCCAGGAAAGTGGACAGACCACAGGCGAATGCAGGAGAAGCGTTTGGGTCTCTGCAGGACCCAAAGCAGCAGGAAGTGTTGATGGCATGAAACATTTCTGTTTAAGGGTAGAGAATGCAAGAGAATTGCTTCATAAATTATTCTCTGTTCTGGAGGAAGAGTGAATAGACTTGAAGGACAGGTGATGTCTCTGAAATATGCAAATAGAGCGGAGCCGGTCCAAGCAATTACCTTTGCACTGCCTGGAACTTCAGACTGAAAGGAATGACTCACAAGAAAGAACAAGAAACAAAAGATGTGCTAAAAGGTAGAAGATGACAGAGGAAGACTGCATCAAGAGGAGAAGGGAGACAAGCATGGAAAAGTAGAGCCCTGATCTCCTACTAACAGCTGTGCTTGGGAAAGGGAGTAAAATACAGTAAGACCTGTATCCACATAAGACCTAACTGCAAAGAATTCAGAAAGGCAATTGTGATAGCTGGTTCTAGACTTCTGGGTTCAAGATCAGCACAGCAAGGAGATCCAGACAGATCCATGAATGTCAAGTCAAAAGATCTCACCTCGATATCCTTTAGACTATCTGCTATTTTAAAGATTTCTCTAAGCAAGCAACATTGCTGAAAACGTGCTGTGGTAATTCCTTTCCCAGTTTTAGACAAAGCTCTGAAAAAAAGAGATTAGGTACGAGTAACAGGCAACAGGCTAGTAGCAAGGGTGAAGAAGAAACAAAACCACGTTGGAAACTGTCATGGAGATGAGCTAAGAGATCTGCCTCGACCAGCTTCACAGAGCAGAACAGCCGTGCCACTGCCTCTCCACAGCCAGTCGGCTCCTGAAGTGCACGTACACCAAACCTGAAGCTGGGATAGATTTTGGCTGCTGCTCGTGTTCTCATTGCTTTGGAACACAAATTCAGGGTGCTCCTACTGCATCAGAGTGCTTCTGCTTCAGGTTTGGAGGTTTTTTTTCATCCAGAGCAAGCAATGATAGTAATTATAGCAGTTATAGTCTGATGCTGAAAATGTACTAATAGAGAAACTGCAAGGTCAATATGATTCTTCATTGATTCATTCTTTCAAGATAAAGGAACAAAGTCGATCTATTTGGACCGCGTAGGAAATATTGCATTTAGTTCCATTCTATTTATTATGAAAAATAGTGACAGCCTGAAACCTGCAGAACAGCAGCAAATCCACTCAGGGGAAAAAAAAAATGAACCTATGAAAAAGATAAGGTATTTTTAAGTTTTAAATTTTGCATATTTAGTACTAAAGGATCAGGACACTAATAACCCTTTGCAAATATATGAAACAGGAGACTGAAGGGGATAAAAGATAACAAAAACAACTTTACGGGAGAGATGAACTGTTGAAAAGAAATTATATAGCTAATACTGAGAAAGCTTTACAATAGCAAAATTCACGAAGCTGCACAACGAGAAATTCAACACTCTCGCACTGTAATTACTATTCATAATCCATAAGGATCTGAAAGAAACTTTTCAAATTTGTATCAAACATTATATATCACTTTTAACCAAATACTAGTACTTCATTCATGATCTACTGAATGCAAGAAAAATTCAAAGGAAGCCAGCAGATGAGCATGCAAAAGGAGACATAATGACAGTGATGAAGCACCTTGTAATGTACCCACAGATCTTTCCTATAAATCCAATTTGAAATTTGAAGACTAAAATAGCTATTTTATCTCAATCCCCTGACACATGCATCTCCATTATTTTAAAGAACAGAGCTCCCTCTCGTGGCTCCAGAAGGTGAATTTAGTTGGGAGAACAAAAAAAGTACAGAGCAGCATGAGGCATGAGAATGAGAGGACTCCTGATAGCATTTAGGTTGTATAAAAGCGGAATTAAAAGGAAGATATAGTAGGAGAGACAGGTGACTTCTTTCAAGAAAGGAAAGTCACCTGTACTTTATTGCCAACTTTTAAATGTAACCTCCTCTCCAGACTCCTTCAATGTAAAGCACACGTTCATTCCTCGCCTCAGGGGAAAAGGGGAGCAGGGCTGCAAACGCTTTGTTTGCTATATGGCTTCTTTAAAATATCTTTTCTTTTAATTGATACATCATTCCGCCTTCCTGGCTGACAACTTTGTAGCCCAAAGGTCACCCACCTGTGACAATAAGTATTTCCGAGGCAAGAGAGTGAAAAGAGCACCCAAAGCTAATCTTGTCACCATGCACGAAAAGTCGTCTTATGAACAGAAGTTCTACCTATAAAAATCCAGAAAAACTGGGGCATTTTTGTGTGTTCCCCCCCGCCCCATTGTTCAATGAATATTCACGTTCCACTTTACACTACTAAACACTTTCTTCATTCAGGTTTGTACCTGAATTATTTAGGTTTTTATTTCTACATGAGACTTTTGAACTTACACAGCACACAGTTAGCTTTTGCCAACAGCACAGAATATAAAACTAATTTCCCCAAGGGCATTAAAAAGGGTTTCCTCTAAATCACAGTATTTCTCTGCTGCAAAAACAGGACCAACACCATGAAACATGAACTAGTGAAGAAAAAAACCAATTATTCTTGTCTCCAGAACAGTATCAGAAGACAACTGAGGATCAAACTCTTGATTCATAGGCTTGTGCTCACAAACGATTTTGCTTCCAAAGCACAGGACCAAAAAAGAATCAATTTCCTACCATAAAAAGAAATTACCCTGCCTTCAGCATTTTGCTATTAGTGAAATATCCCCACTCCATCAGAGGCAATACTTTTTCTGAAGAGCAACCCTCTTTAGAAATTGTATAAAAATCAGTCTATAAACAGGAAGACATGCTTAAGTACTCAAGTAATAAAACTGGTAGATGAAAGACAGATTAATTAAAATGACAGTACAGTCTCCTTATAACACACACATACAGGACTTAGAAATACACTTGTTATGTTGGAGTACCTAATCATAATCAGATTTGGTAATTTGCTGCATCGAAACAAAGAGGAAACATTTTTAGAATTGATCACACAGTTCATGTCTCTTTTATGGAGATTACTTCGTATTGATCAACATTTAAATAGTAGTTGAAAAGAGAAAGAGGAGAAAAGGATAAAAAGTATTTTTCCATGCTAAATACAACACGAACCAATAAAAGCAAAATAAATTAGATCACTACAGCCAAACCAACCCTGTGCACACGCTCATTATAATGAAGATGACTGTGAATGAAGGAGGTGGTTCTTTATGCTTCAGTCATAACAAAAGGAGAGTTTTAAAAATTAATTTAGACCTTTTTCTGCTTAAAATGAAGTTCACCTCGCAGCAACTAAAATCTGTGTGAATCCAAACCGCTGTCGGCTTGACAAACAACTGGTTTGTTTTCTGAACAAGTTCCCCACCTGTGGATTCCAACTGGGGTCCAGTTTTTTAACCGTAGCAACATACTCCTGCATTGCTTGATGAGGGCTGGTATCTCCCAGGGCTTTCCAAGCCTCCCTAGGAGAGAGCGCAAAACATCAGTGAGCCACCCGGAGACAGCCCAACACGTTTATACAGTGTCACCAGTGGAACACACACAAAAAAGATTTATCTAAATACTTTCCCAGGGTGTAAAGTCATCTTTCATTCAGTTTGAAATGGCCAACTTTTGTCTGAAGCCCCAAACGGCCACTGTCGGTGCAGCGCTCCACTGTGAAAGGACCTTTCAGGGCATCCCGATGCAGGCTGGAATATCGTTTGTATTTGCAAAATAAACCCGTTTGTAAAGCTATTTTCACAAAATTGTTGCATGCAGGCTAGCTCAGGATGAACAAGGTAAAATCAGGAGCCTGGTATTTCACATCTGTATCAGGCACAGCAGTAAACACTTCCCTATTAAACAAAGGATTTTTAAGCCAGTTCAGTGGCAGACTCGCAGAGTTGACATCCTCTAGGTCCATAATCTGTCACCAGGTGAGACATGATTCAACAAAAAGCAGAGCCAGAAATTGCTAGGAATTATAAGGATTTCCTCTTACCATTTCTGCTTTCCCTCAAAATCAAAGAAGCTTGGCTTGGGTGTGTTACAGGTTCCAAATTTCACCTAAAGAAAAGAAATTTTCCTTCTGTTAGAACAAAGCAAAGGGAAGGCAACTTGCATAAGGAAATACTGTGTTCTGGTGGTTTCAGGGTAATTTTGTCCTTGTGTCAGAGGGAAGGTTTTTTAGGGAAAGAATGGGCAAAATTCAAGCCTCATTTTAGCAATCTTGCAGATATTAACACCTCTGCATCCCTGTGTCTTCTTAGCGTGATGCCAGGGAAGCAATTTTGTTATGCAGCTCATTTCTTTTGCACGCATTACCCAACAGAGATAACCAGCAAGTGATTTCTCACTTAATGTTATGTTTATTACCCAGCCAAATGCTTCGCACTCCACCAGTATCCAGAAAAATTTTGTTGATGAGGGTTTCTACAGAGATGATTATTCATTAGGGCTGAAATTCACCTGCTTCCACACAAAGCTTAAGGAAACAGACTTGGCTTAATTCTTTTCAAGGTCCTCTGGAAGGCAAGGGGACAAATTCAGAGCAAAGGAACACCAAGCAGCTTCTCAATTTGCTCCAAGACATCTGCCTGCACAGGAATCACTACACGAGAGACAAGTCAAGGCCTGAGCGCCGGAGATGAACCAGCCCATCAGAAGCAAGCTAGAAATTAAAATGTGAAGGGGGGGAACAAACAAACAAACAAACAAACAAACAACCCAGGGAAGCAAGGGAACAAGTCAGAATCTATAGAGAGATGTATGGGGAAAAAAATAAAGCAATCTCATAGCCAGGACAAAATGGACTTGGTGCCAGCGGGATTCAGGGAGTTTTCTATAGGGCAGCATCCGGATGGGACAAAGCCCGTCCTCTCACTGCAGGGAAGTCCATCCTCCAGATCTCCTCCCACAAAGGGGCACACAGAGGGCTGACACAAGCTGTGCCTGCCCAGGGCTCCAAAGCCATAACCATGATCTGCTGACAATTGCCTCAAGAACAGAGCAACTGGCAGGTTGAGATTTGGGTAGCAGGTATTTTCTTGAAGTCAGCTTAGAAGAACATGTAAGTGAATGTGTCTGAAGCCTCAAGGGAATATTGGTCAGGACCCACCAGACCTGGCTGTTATCACTGCTCCTTTTGTTGCCTTAAGGGTGGCAAAACAATCTTTACTGTCTTAAGGGTGGTGAATCGATCCTTCAAAGAATGCTCCCAAAAGGTGACAAGCACATCTTCGAGCCAATTAGTAGAAAAGCTAGTAAGCTAGGATGTACCTAGGGAGAACAAGCAGACTGTTATTTCGAGAGAATAAAGAGGCTGTTCATCCTTGAGCATGGTTTGGCCCAGACTGAAGCAAGAGTCTCCTAGTCAAAAGTTTTCATTTTGGAGATTAAGCGGTGCATAAATATCACTGAGCTGTTTGTAAAAGACTGAAAGACAGGCTGCAGGTGAAGATCACTACCACCGACTCAGTTCAGGCCAAAGAAAACTTGCCCGTCACCACCTGCAGGGATCATGCCTGCTAATTTGCATAAGACACAAGGTTAATTTACACATATTTAACCAATAATAGAACAGTTATCACTAGCCCGTAATTGTAAAAGTAGGCATGCTTATACTAATTAAGTTACAATATAAACATACTGTAGTTTTTTGGCATGGTATGCAAATTTCACCTAGCACCCAAACTTGGGCAACTTCGTTAGTAAACCCATGTCAGTCTCCTAAACTATCATTTAGTTTAGAGAGTTTTCTTGGTTATGATTTTCAGTAACACTTTCTCCTAAAAAATAAAGCCCCCTTGTGCACAGGTGTCACTGATAAACCAAATCTAACCGAGATGAAAGTATCATTGTGCCATGAATTTACACAAAGCGTGGTAGTTTTGTTGTGTAGCTTTTTTTTAATTTTTAAATAGAGGCTTTTTTTTTTTTTAAAATGAAAGTGCAATATATCCCACCGGGATGATGGATGAAAGACTGTAGGAGCCGCAGCAGAAGCACAGCTCCAAAGGCAACAGCCCCTGGGCAGCAGTTTATCACAGCGAGTCCCAGGAACACGGGGCACAGCCCAGTGCCAAGAAACCCCAGCGTGAAACAGATATTTCAACAGATCCCCGGGGAAAAGACACGGGTATGTTCTGGAGGGGAGCAAAAGCTGCTGGGTGAACATTTTGTCAGCCAAGCAAAACTAAACCGCATCCATCAAACGTCTCATGAAATATGCCCAAGCGTTCAGGCAGGTGAAGTGCTTAAATCAACTAACAATTCTTCACCTTAACAGGGTGGGGATTTTATGCTGAAGACGGAATCATTAATCAGGCTTTAAAGAGACCAGGCCCACGCTGAGAAATATTTATTAGTTACACTATGTTTTCATTTAAAGTGTTAGAGGATATGAGTGACTGTAACTGAAATTCATTTTCTGTACCTCTGACCGTCTCCCAGTGAGCAATTCATTCAAATTAGAACATCTCAGCTGGCCTTTAAAACAATATATCGCATTTCATGGAGAAACAGAAGAGGCTTAGCCACAGTTAAGTCCTATAAATCAGTCACAATTCATGCAGTGTAAATGTTTTCTCCTGTGCTCAGAGGTGAGTTGGACCACTTGTTTTAAAAAGCAAAACAAACATGGAAATGAAATGCAAACTGATTACCTGTATGGAAAATGCCTGCTTGACGGTTCTTTAGTTTAATATCTAACCTGCAAAAATTGGCCAAGCTGGATTAAAAGAAATAAAAATCTTGTTTTAATTTTCCACTGCCATCATCAAAACACGACAGCAGTTTCCTTCTCTTTAGATTCAGCATTCAAAGGCTGTTCTAGCATCGGGAAAGACTGTTAGTAACAATGATAGTAATACAAATCACGGAACAGTAGTTAAATTTCATCCATCAAGAGCTAAAAAAAAAATAAAAAATGTGCACTTGTGCCCTGTGTGCTATTTTAAGATATATTAAAAAGGCTTGCAGTGGTTTTGTGGGGAAAAAAAAAAAGAAGATAAAGATTTTGGCTTCACTCTTTTTGCTGCAAGACACCATAATGCATCAGAAATCAAAGAGGAATCTAACATTAGAAGGGACCCAAGCGTGAGAGCTGAGGAAGGGAGGTTTTACCCAAATATGCCAGCGCAAATTCACGGCAAAAACTGGAGGGGAATTTTGTGAAGGACTCTGCCCTCCTGCTTAAACCCCTTGGACAGCCTCAAAAGCTGTTTTTCTCCATAAGCAGCAGGAAGACAAGAGGCTATATTAGTATTTCAAGGCAGAGTCTCTTGTTCTGTGTCCACAAAATAATTATTGGTGGTCTCCAGGGGCCTGACTGCTCACTCGATGCTTAGCTCTCGTTTACAGTTCATCAGCTGCATTAAAAAAAAGGCAGCCAGAACACATAAAATACTTTCCTGGTATCGCTTCTGCATGCAGAGTTGTTGTGAATCGTACAAACACGACCTAGGCAGCTCCAAATGGGAAGCGTCTGCAGACATCCCCATTTGTGGCCAAAATGGCAATTTAGAAATCTGGGATAAAGCCTTCACCCGAGAGCTGAAGGTCACAACATTCAGAAGAGCACTCAGACCAACATCTCGCATCTCAGAGACACGTCAGTGCCGCACACCATCAGCTGCTGCTCCAGACCCCTTGAGATTCTCCTCACCCATCCCTCCACAGCTGACCCTTCCCTGCTCCCACCTGGCTGGTGGTGGGAAAACGGTTCTTTGATAATTTTTCAACTAATGCGTTTCCACAGCAGAGAGTTCCAGCCAGATATTCTTATTTGACTGTAAATCTTGTAAAGTGAATCATCTTTGCAGCCTCCCTGCCCAGTAGCATCAAGCACAGAACTCACCTCCACGGGCAGCAGGACCAAGCTCAAACCATGCACAGGCCTAACAAGCTGAATTCCTTCGGCATGGCAAGAATTCCTGCCTGTTCCTGCCCAAACCCATGGGAAAGCAACTGACTGGTGAAGGGCTTGGAGAACAGACCTTATGAGGAGCGATTGAGGGAGCTGGGTCTGTTCAGTTTGATGAAGAGGAGGCTGAGGGGGGATCTCCTCATGCTCTACAACTACGTGAAAGGACACTGTAGAGAAGTTGGTGCTGGTCTCTTCTCACAGGGAATTAGGGACAGAACCAGGGGGAACGGTTTCAAGTTGCACCAGGGCAAGTTTAGGCTGGACATTAGGAAGAAATTCTTCACGGAAAGAGTGGTCAGACCCTGGAACAGACTGCCTAGGGGGGCAAGTGTCGCTTAGACGTGGTGTTGGGTGATGTGGTTTAGGGGTGTCCTTGTAGTGTAGGGTCAATGGTTGGACTCGATGATCCCAAGGGTCTTTTCCAGCCTGAATTCTTTTCCAACCTGAATTGTTCTATGATTCTATGATTGCAAGCAGGGCGTAAGGAAGCACAAGCAAACATCAGCCACAAAAGGCAAGGGGTCCTGACTCTGACAACCAAGGAGCTCTGCGTCCCAGAGAGACCGAGAAAGCGACGCTCCGGGCAACAGGAAGCAGCAGGCAGAAGCTTCCACGTTCAGGGCAGAGTTATGACATCATGCTCTACAATATTTGAAAGGTATCACCAAAAAATGGGATTATATGGAGCCTACACTCAGAGACAGCACAAGCCTGGTTTTGCCAACATCACCAGACTTCCAGCTTGTCTGTGTTTCCCCACATTTCCTTTCCTTAGGCACCGGCACACCTCCCTGACAGGGCAGGTTTTTCTCAATCCGACCATTTTCAGCAAGTTCTGGATCCTCTCCCCTCTCTGAAAAACATCAATCCCCATCACCAGCTTCTTTCTGAACCTCAGATTTTTCTCATCCTCAGCACGGCAGGCAAGCGCTGTCTTCACTTCACCACTACAAATTCAAGGTACACGCAAATTATTTGCTCGAAGCCACGCAGAAAGCAGGGGGAGAAACAGAAAGATTAGTCCCAGTCTAGAGACCTACCAACTAGTTTGTTCTTCCTCCTGTTCTGGAGCAGAGTCATAAACTCAGCAACATCTTCTAAAAACCTCACTGGAGATGACAACTAAGCAATTCCCTTATTT